AGCAGGAACCAAACAGAGCTGCATCTTCAACCCTTTTCCACTCCTCCCACACCTCACTGCTTCAAACAGCCTCAAATGTGGACTGGTCTGCTTCTAGCTAGCCACACTGACCCCTACTGGACAAACCTCAACTGCTCCAGCCTGTCAGAGCTGGCAGAAAGTGAGTGACAGATGCCCCCCCCCAAAAAAGCCCAAAAAGGCATGGCTTACATGAGGCAGGGCCATCAGAGATCCCAGTATACTGCCTCAGCTGACAGACGGCACTGTTGTTCCTTTTTGTGATGGTATCTTCACAGAGCTCCATCCATGAATGTTTATTCAGTTCAGGCTGTGTTATTGTGAAGCTTCATCGGACATAATCAAAAAGCAGCTTCTGCCTTTACTGAATGCTACAAGTCTGCACTATTAGTAAATTAAATTACTGTCACTTTGATTCAGCTGCAGGCTATGAATAAACACACAGCAGTGTTGTAAATGGCTCGCTGTGCTATGTGACTCCTTTCAGTCAACACAGTCCTGTTTAATTATTCTCTCATCAGCAGTCACCACAGGGAGAGAGGATCTGAATCCATTTGGAGACAGGAGGGAGGTTCTTTGTTTACTCTTGTTTTTTTCTGTCTTGTTGCAGCAGGGCAGGGTTGGTTTAAGGGGGTTTGTTTCTGGTGACAAAAGAGGCTGCGGGACAGAGACAGACCCACCCTACACTGTTGGCCTCTGTCTCACTGGCTCTATGCAAACACACATATGTCACATAAACACATCTTCTCACTCCTGCAGACTTTTCTCCCACAGAAGGCAGATTGCTGGGTCTCAGTATTTCCCTCACCCCTCTCTCCTTCCTAAGAGACTATGCACAAAGGGACGCAGGCCTGTTTCAGACTGGGATGTTATCCCCAGGGGATCCCTCATCATGGATTTATTCTACATAAATGAGGAACTAGCTTTGCCTCCTCCTCAACTCCCTTCTCTCTGTCTCACACACACAAACACTCACTCAGAATCAGAATCAGCTTTATTGGCCAGGTGTTTTGGACACACGAGGAATTGTACTCTGGTACAGCGGCTCTCAATGCATATGTACATGTCCTTATGTAAGGCAGCAGTGGGCAAGTAACCAATATAAGGCTGAGAAGAAAAGTAAAGAAGTAATGTGCAATCAAGCAAAGGAATGTGCCTTAGGAGGAAAAATAAAGTACTATATACACATACACACTGTCTGGATTTGACGGATCAGTATGTACAAGGTATATATTTACAGGTATTGCACTGAGGGTTATTGTCCAGTCATACGTTTTCATAACATTTTGGGCATGGAATCCACGCTGAATCCACCCTTCTGATGGGATCAGTTTAATCCAGATTTTCTGGATCAAAGTGATCCAAATCCTACAAAAAAGTTCTGAAAAACCCTAAATGAAGGTTTGATCCGGATCAAAACCAAGATTGGATTACATGATCTAATCCGATTATGTAATCCGTTTCTTCTTTTGAAAAACCCATTTTCAAGATTTGATCCAATCCGTTATCCAAAATCCTAGTGGATTACTTTTGAAAAACCGGGCCCTGGTGTGTAAGGGATGTGATAGAAACAAGCACTGGGTGGTACAGTGTGTCAGAGACTTTGTCGAAGCCCAGAGATGGGAGAAGGAAATGTACATGTGTGATTGTGTATATGTGTAAGCACTGGTAATGGCGGATGGCAAAGCACTACTGTCCCTTAAGGCAGCTGGATATTGATGTGTGTGAAGCAGAGAGTGAAGGAATGAAGAATACAAATAAAATGATGGTAATGACTGTAGACGTGAGAGTCAAGATAAACAGATGTCAGTAACAACACAGAAACCTTCACCCTCCATGTGCCTACTGCCCTATCTGCTTCTACTGTAGTTAAAGGATATTATTTGCCATGTTTTTCTACTTGACAAATTCCATGAAAAGATCTCAACCAATAATTCATTGGTCCCACACACAATACTTTTTGATTTCTGTACTATGGCACTAAGTCCCAAACTTATTTCGTCATTAAGAATGGGTCAAAAATAGAGTTTTTTAAAACCAGCCCAGTAACATTTCTAAAACAGCTCAACTGTAAGTTTTAGAAAAAGTTGATCAAACCAGATGGAATATTGTATATATGTGGGACTGTTTCAGCTTTGGTGTTCTACTTCTGTACCTTTTTCCAGTGTAGAGCAGTAAGTGTGTTTCCATCCATCCTGATGTGAATTCACAGATTAGAAGAGAGTGAAGATGTGAGGACACTATAACCTTCCTCAAGTTAATGCATGAAACCAGCAGAAATGTCTTACAGTCAGAACAGAATGTTTTCAGACCCTTTCAAGTTATCCACATTTTGTTATGTTTCAGACTCATCTTAAAATTGATTCATTCCATTTTTTTCCTCATCAATCTACATACAGTACTCCACAATAAAAAAGTGAAAACAGCTTTTTCTAGTGTTTTGAAAATATATTAAAAATAAAAGACACCATGAGATGCTTTTACAGCTTGATCAGAGTCCACCTGGGCCCAATTTAATGCACTGCATAGAACTAGGAAAGGCCTCATAGTTGGTGATGTACAGTATGTCAGGGTGGGGAGAACTGTCCACAGACCTGTGAGACAGGACTGTGCTAAGACACAGATCTGGGGAAGGATACAAGAAAACGTCTGCAGCACTGAAAGTGCCCAAGAGCATGGCAGCCTCCATCATTCTCAAATGGAAGAGATCTGGAATGACCAGCAGTCTTCATAGATCTGGCCGCCCAGGCAAACACAGTAATCGGGGATGAAGGGCTTTGGTCAGACTGGTAACCAAGAACCCAAGGGTTCTGTGGGTGTCGGAATTGACCTCTGAGCCTCTCCTGAGATGGATTTGTACCTGCATGATTCCTGAACAGTGGCACAAAATAGTGGCCCAAGAGAGAAGGCTCATGTAGGAGCAACACCCTATCAAGAGTTTAATTTGCATCCCATTCATTCATTCATTTTCTAGAGCCACTCTGCTTTATATCTTTCCTTTTTTTAATCTGGTAAGTATCAGAGTTGTTGCAGGTAATGAATGAAATATTCATGCATTTCATATAAAAGTTCTGTTTCTCATGTTAATGTTGCCCTGCGATGGATTGGCGACCTGTCCAGGGTGTACCCCGCCTTCGCCCGATTGCCGGCCGGGATTGGCTCCCCCGTGACCCCGTTCAGGGACTAAGTGGTAGAAAATGGATGGATGTTAATGTTTTGATACAACTTCACAATCCCAGCATTCGCCCTATGGCCGGCCGGCATTGGCTCCCCCGTGACCCCGTTCAGGGACTAAGTGGTAGAAAATGGATGGATGTTAATGTTTTGATACAACTTCACAATCCCAGCACCTTAAAGTAATGAGGCCAAATTAATTGTTTTTCTGGCTTTTACAGTGAAAAGCTATAAAGGAGGAGGAGGTGTGATGATTGTTAGGCCTAAACTATATTACAAAGAGGGAATATTAAAGGAAGAAACCTGAAATGTGAAATATGTCAGTAAGAGAATAAGAGCAAACATGAAGAGGTGAGTGGCTGGACAGATAAAAAAAACAAACAAAGTTTTCAATGCAGAGGGACTGATGGGCCCAAAAAACCGCTGTTGTTTACTGAGGTAGAGATACACAGAGGACATCAGAGAAAGACACTAATGGCTGTGTGGGCATCAAGGCTGAGGGGTCTTTAAGAAGCCTCTCTTTCCTCCTCCTCTGCCATTTTTTTCATTTTCCAGACATTTATCAGACACCATTTTCAAAACAGCTACACTTTGATTGATGTGTCACCCACAAGCAGTTACGTTCAGAAGCTAAAAACCCAGTGTTAACACTGTAGGCTAAGTAAAACAGTTAATTTTGTGAAATACTTGTATATGCTTTCTTCCATTGAGTGAGATCAATGTCATATGTATGCATTAAGGTCTGATCTGGAGTCAGGACTAACTTCCCTTAACACAGACAGGCAGGGGGAAACAGCTAGATTCTGGCCACAGTTAAAATATAGGTGACAAAGACATAGATTGTCTGCTAGTAGAGCTGTCCACCTAAATATTACCCATGAAGATCATATCATCAAGTTATTTCATGTTTATTCATTTTCTTAAACTGAGCAGATTGACTCCAGACATTAAAATATTTCTTGGCTTTCTTTCTGAGAGTGAGAGAAGAAGACCTCGTGTCTGTCTATTGAGTATGGAACTGGAGTCAGGTCGAGGTTAGCAGAGAGAAGAACCTAGCTTGGCTCTGTCTAAAGACCAAAAACACACCTACACCTCTAAAGCTCGATGATGTATATGTTCTGTCTTATTTGTTATTCAAACTACATATAAAAACAACATTTAAAAATGTAAATCTATGGGGAGATACTTATTGGAGCTAATGTATTTCTTATCTAATACCACTAGAGTTAACAGTCCCTTCAACTGTTTGTTACAAATTTAAATCTAGTGACTTCCTCAAAAGCTATTAATTGTCTTTTTCACATTATCCTTTCTCTACAGATTAAAATAACAGGATACAGTGTATTTAGCAGTGAGCTTTAGAGGTGCTGGAAAGCACTGTATATGTTTTCTTTGGGCAGAGCTAAGCTAGCGGTTTCTCCCTCCTTCCTGTCTCCATGCTCAGCTAGGCTAATGACATCCTCTAGTCAAGAGATATTGTTCTTCCTGTCTCATTGTCAGAAAGAAACAGTGTTTATGTGTGTATACATTTTTAGAATGGGTGGCTGCAGGGCTAGCCAAACCCCAAGTTGCTTTTCTAGAGCCACATGTAGCTCTCTGTTTTATTCCCTACAGGCTCACTTGTTCCTATGTTTTCCACATGGCCAGTTATTAGCAAGAAAGTCAGACTAAAACTACTTTGATGTGTTCAGTGGCACAGAGAATGTCAGCTCATATAATATGAAATAATGTTTTTTAAAGTTTGAGTGTTTCTTATGTTCTTCTCTTTTCCCTCTCTCTGTTTCAGTGAAGGGGACTGGTGGGACGCTCGCTCACTCACCACCGGTGGCAGTGGCTACATTCCCAGTAATTACGTGGCTCCAGTAGACTCCATCCAGGCTGAGGAGTAAGTACTGTACATGTATGTGTGTGTAAATGCACCACTGAGACCCACAGTACAGTGGTCCAGGACTAGTGACTTTCATCCAGACTGCTCTAATGTAGCGTGAGATTAGTGGATGCGAGGTCACAGACTGACAGGTTCACATGTGCAGAGTTAACCTTCTGAGGAACAAAATTCAGGAGAAAAAGTCAGTGTCAGTTTCTATTTTCCCTTCAGGGCAGATGTTTCTACTAGCCTGGTAAATTGGCATTTATGTGACACTATAAAGAGATGGATTTAGAATTTTAAATGTCAGCCAGACGGTGGATGAGAGGTAAATATATACCCTTTGGTGGGGCTTTTTCATTTTACAGTTCATTGAGTGCATTTTTAGCATAAAAATGTATGTCCTCCATAAACCAAGGTGCACTCTCATGTATTAAGAATGGTAAAGAATGAGCAAATAAAAGCCTTTTAATATTTTTGTGGTTTTGTGTGCAGCATCAACTGCCACAACAGACCTGACACCCTCCACCCACTGTACCTGCATCAGAATAAGGTTTCGGTATAAAGATTCAGTCAAGTCACAACCAGGCAGATTCAGATGATGAGCCCACCAGAGCACGCTAGAATTAAAACCAGAGAGGCGGTGTGAGTGCAGCTCCTCTTATCAACACAGATCTAACTGTGTGAAAAACCCACTTTGACTATAGTGTCATAGCGCTCACATTTCCTGTCTTTCATCCTCCACTCAGTTGCAGTGTCAGTTAACACGCAAACAAGTTATGTTGTCATGAGATAATGAAAAAAATTCCAACTTTTTTTATGTCTACTTTACTGTTGACCATTGTGTTTGGTGGCAGTGTCACAAGTAAAGAGTTAGGGTTGGATAACATCACTGGACATTCTTATGGCCCCGCATCAGGCCTTGAATTCATCACACATCAGCTGCTGGGTTAAAATGCTAAAATACAAACCACAGAGCTGGTGTTCATTACACCCTATAACATGAAAGTGTTGGAAAGAATTTTGCTGGCATTAGAGCGTCACCCATCATTAAAAAGGTACATTTTTTCCTATGAGTGGAGGTAAAGTAAGGGTCATGGAGGGTCCTGATTACAAATGGCTCGGCCTCAGTTCATGTCACAGTAGTCAGCCCAATGCAATAGATTTTAGCTGCAGCTGTAACAACTCTCTCAGGTGTGAGAATCTGCTGCTTTTCTTGGTCTTACCTTATGGTGGAGTGTATATTTCGGGCTTTTGGACTGTTGGTCATACAAAACAGGATATCTGATTACTTCACCTTGTGCTGTGGTTGGCATTTTTCTGCATTTTCTGTTGTTTTATAGGTCAAATGATAAAATGAATCAAGAAAATAATTGGCAGAATAATCCTGACTAAAAAAAAATCCTTTGTTTCAGTCCTATTGTTTGTCCATTTGTCAAGTGGGAATTTTGCGCCTGATAAGGGCTTTAGTTGAAAAGTCAGAGGGTCACCAGAAATATAAGAAATTATCCTGAGGGCACCAGCAGTACCCACAGCAAATGTTTCAGGCATACTGGCCACAATCAGAAGTGCAGCTCATGTCGTGGGATCTGAAATGATTGTTTCTATACACATTTATTTTCAAAAAACTAATGTAAGACCTGGACAAAATGTCACCAGGTTTAGGTTTGATGTCATTTCCAATCTGCCCACTCCCTTATTGTAAGAAACGCCATCTAAGTTAATGTTTTCTTGTACAGTATATGTAATATGAATTTTCAGGTAACAAGATCAACACAACCCTAGTTTTAATATTACTACTACTAAGGTTGGTGCTTGACTGGGAAGGAACCAGAAACTCCTGAATCCTGTTGGTCACTTGCTCTCACTTTCTTAACAGTGTTTGACTAAAATTATTTACACAACATCATCAATAAAGTGAGTACAATGGAGTAGTACTATGGAGGATTTTCTGATTCTTTCTAAGAATGGCATTAAGCGACACCCCCCACCTCAGTCTGAGTTAACAGGTTTTGTCCTGCGGTTGCAGCTGGTACTTTGGTAAACTGGGCCGTAAGGATGCAGAGAGGCAGCTGCTGTCCACTGGCAACCCTCGCGGCACCTATCTCATTCGGGAGAGTGAAACTACAAAGGGTAAAAACCATAGACACACTCATGCTCTCAGCCTATGTGACTCCAAGTATAAGTGTGTGAGTGTGTGTGAGTATGTCATGAGAGATTTGCAACTGTGGGGGAAAAAACATTCACATCAGGCTGAGATTGTACCTTGAACCTGTGGAATGTTTCAGTGCTCTAATATTTCCTACATGGCTTTTGTGAACTGCAGCAATGTGTCAGCCACTCCTCTTGGAGTGTCCACCCAGTTGCAAGTGTTGCAGCGAGTTTTGAAAAGTATCAACTGCTTAAAGTGAATGCTTTGTCATATTCTGTTCTCTTTACTTATTTTTTTAATTAGATATGTTCTGACTTACTGTAAATCATGATGTTGTCACTTTTATACTTTATTGTTTGTGCTCAGTCAGTGACACCTCATCCTCTCAACCCCTGATCTGTGCCCCCCAGGTGCCTTCTCCTTGTCCATACGAGACTGGGACGATGTGAAAGGTGACCACGTCAAGCATTATAAGATCCGCAAACTGGACAGTGGAGGTTACTATATCACCACCAGGGCTCAGTTTGATACGCTGCCACAGCTGGTTCAGCACTACTCAGGTAAGAAGAAGCTAAGCTGTTCGCTGACACTTACACTGATTTTGTATGTAGAAGTTCATTTTGACACACCATGGTTAATTTTATGACATATTTTAGTTAATTTCAGTGTATTTTTGCAAAATTTTGATGTAATTTCAGGATTTATTCCAGTTAATCTATGGATGGATTCTGGTTCATTTTAGAACATATTCTAGTTCATTTGAGGACGTAGTCAGGACAGAAAACAGAGGTACACAGTAGCAAATACAGGCATAAACAACATCTAGGTACTTGAAGGACCTTGAATGTACGAAAGACTTCATTGCCCACAAATTGGATGACATCATGTCTGTTGGAAGTAGTTTTTTCAGTTTAACTCTTTGTATCTTGCCCTTAAGCTCTTTACCATATTAGATCTCTGGAATTTGGTTCAGTACACTGCATCACTGATGCATACAGTCAAAATAATCTATTTACGTAAAAAGATGTTGACCCATTAAAAAGAGAAACAGACAGATGTTCCCATGGAAAGATGTGGAGACAGAGCATCGTTAACATGGCCCCATTTGCAGAAGCCCAAATAGCATCCTTTAAGTCTTCTCTTCAGTCTGGTGTCCATTTTCCTTCAGTTGATCCAAAATGCATTATGCAGACACTGTTATTCTGTGTAATTGCATTTTGTCTGCAGCTTTCAGATACAGGGATAAAAGGTGGCACTTAGAATGAGACACATAAAGAGAAGAATGCGACTGCATGTGAAATCAGTTGCATTTGCTACCTTACTTGCATCTGTTATGTTTTTTAATCTTGCATCACATTAAATTTAATGTAGCAAACATGAAATGCAATGAGAGTGGAAAGGCTGCTTATTGTCTTAATCAAAGGGGAAATAGGGAGCTAATGTGTCAGAGTTTAGGACTGGATCACTGGGAGCTCATCCAGATGTGTGTATTGAGCTCAGTGTGTAATGGTAACATACTATATCATGTCCAAAAATATTGGCACCCCTGCATTTCTGTCAGTTAAGGCACCACTTCTCCCAGAAAATTGTGGCAATCACAAAATTCTTTGGTATTCTTATGTTTATTTCTTTTGTTTGCATTGGAACAACACAAAAAGCATAAAAAAGCTTAACCTGATCCACATCACACTGAACAGAATTACTGACACCCTCAGTTTAATATTTGGTGGCACACCCTTTGGACAAAATAACTGAAATCAGTCACTTCCTGTAACCATCACTGAGTTTCTTCCACCTCTCTACTGGAATTCTGGACCACTCTTCTTTTGCCAGGTCTCTCAGATTTGAAGGGTTCCTTCTCCCAGCTGCTGCTCTGAGATCTCTCCACAGGAGCTCTATCTGGACTCATTGCTGGCAGCTTCAGAACTCTCCAGCTCATTGTCTGAAACCAATTCTGGTGCTGTTTGAAATCTGCTTTGGGTCATTGTCCTGCTTGAATTTATTTGGATGTTGATCAAGGTTCTTTATCCACCACTCAAACAATCCTTCCTTGCAGTCTGCCATCTATTTTCCTCTTTTGTCCACGTCCAGGGAGATTAGCTACAGCACTATGGGCTGTAAACGTCTAGACAATGTTGCCCACAGTGGACACAGGAACAGCCAGGAGATGGACTTGGAGCCTTGAGACTGTCCAGGCTTTCCCACTATGTGGTTCTCTGATCCTCAGACAATTCTTTGCTCTTCTTTCTTTTCTCCATGCTCAGTGTGGTCCACATGACACAAAGGTTGAGTCGACTTTTCTCCATTTTAACTAGTTACAAGTGGGATTTCTATGTTGCCAGCACCTGTTGATTGCTACAGGTGAGTTTCATTACAAATTAAAGGAGCATCACAGGCTGGAAATACAACTATATCTGATCATTTTGAAAAGGTTTCAATAATTCTGTCCAGTCCATGTTTGGAGTTCTGTGTGGAATGGATCAGATTGGGCTTTTTCTGTTTTTTGTGTCATTCCAATGCAAACAAAAGAAATAAACATGAGAATACAAAAGAATTTTGTGACTGGAACAATTTTCTGGGAGAAGTGGTGCCTTAACTGACAGAAATGCAGGGGTGCCTGTACATACTGTATGTCTGTGTTCTCTTACATATATTTTGTTTTACCACTCTCTATCTTCCTCTCACTATCGAAAGGATGCTGTTCTTGTTATGCTCTAATTGGCACATGGGCATATCGATGTTTAAGCTCTAAAATCAACACCATGGATTTTCTGTATGTGTTTGTATCATGGAACATTAACAGTCCCTCTACAATTTCAGCACTCCAGATGACGTATGGAGCCAGCAGCACACCTTTTCAAATAACCTTGACTCTTTCAGGGCTTGTGCTTTTATGGCTTTCTGCTTTCGTCTGTCTCTAAAGAGATAAAATCATATCTGGCATCATATACTGTAGAATATTCTCAAGCCTCAAGAATCAGCCACCCCACAAGTTTGATTTACACGATCAAAGTGATCCTGATTGACTTCAATAGTTATAGTGGTTTTTTTTAGACAATCCTGGTCAAAGTTTGTCCATCTTATGAAGAAACTACAAGTGAATGTCAGATAAAATCTAATTCTGCCAGTTGAATTGCTCTGGCACAAACTGTAGCAGCAACACAAACCTTGAACACTGACAGATTTATTAATTCTGATCAAAATGCTATTCAAACCTCACCATTTGAAGCCTAAGTGTTCTAGGAAACACTGCCTGTTTTGATGCTTGCTGTTTGATAAGGTCTACATATCGACAGCTTTTATGACAGCCAGCAGAGTGAACATAGAGCAGTATTGATGTCTGAGGCAGCAGGCTTTGATGGCCAAGTTTCAGGTTGAACATTTCCAGTGGTGAGACACAGGCCTTTATCTTGTCTTTATTGCCATGTGCAAACACCCTGAAGCCTTATCATTGCCAGTGGTGAGGAAAGGGGAGTCAGTTTGTCCCTGCAGCATTGAATGGGAGATCTCTGTAGATATCAGCATGGAGGTACCAGTGGAAACTGCCTTAAAATCAATAACCCAGGTAAAATCAATAACACCAGCACTTCTTCCAGAGTAAAAGCCGAGGATGTTTGATTTCATGACACAGACGATATGGTGTCATTAGCTACACTGACAACCATACAAGGGCAGGATTGAAATGGAGTGCCACTCAGCCGCCTAACAAGCATAGCTGTTAATGCTTCTCATGGTGAATAAAATCCCCACGCTGTCTTTATGTTTAACCACAGCTGTAGGTGTACGTTTCCCCAGTGAGTAACTGACAGCCAGAGTGATCTCTTTACATAAATTACTTCCATTATAATAAAGTTTATGAGTTGTAGGTGCTGTTAGCCAAAGTGAGCTGTAACCTAGAGCATATACTTTTTCTATACCTGTATCCATCCTCAGTCTGTATTCATTCAACAAGCTGGGGTCACCACAAGGAAACCTATAGTAGAGAAAATTAGGCCTAAAATAACTATAATAATTAAATTAATTAATTATTATAAAATAATAAAATAATTAATTGAATGTAATGGTGATGCTTTAGATTCCGAAACAGGAGTTAGGGTCAAGCTCCAAAAGCCCTGGATCCTACGATTTCCATAATGGAACTCAAGAGTGCTCTTGTTAGGCCCTCCCTGCCTGACAAATAGCTAGACTTGTTTGGAACACAGAATTTTTGTCTCTGAGCCCACACAATGACATCATCTGGGTTATTTTATTAGACATAACAAAAGTCCCCCAGAGCTACAGACAATGATGTAAAACTTTCACAGGCATTTTTAAAATAAATAGTAAACTGACTCACTGAAATCAAATTTCCCCTTGAAGGTGTTAAGATTGTGAAAGCACCTCTGTCACTCTGGCTCCTGTAGATGAATCCTTAGTAGCATATTACTCTGGTTGATCTCATGATCATTAAGAATCAGGAAGGCCATGTTAGACTGAATCCGCTGACCTGGAAGCAGCCAGCCAGGAGGAAAAGAGTTGCTTTCAATTTTCATATCTACTCTGCCCCTTGTTGTCCTTGTTTCAAGTTGTTGTGTTGCTTTGAGGCTCTACCCTCTCTCCTGCAGGGTGCTGTGCTAACACTCTGTCCACCTCTCTTTATGCTCTTATTTGTACATTGCTATGCGGCCTGCAGACCGAGCCGCCGGCCTCTGCTGTCGCTTGGTGGTTCCCTGCCACAAAGGGATGCCCCGCCTCGCTGACCTGTCCGTCAAAACCAAAGATGTGTGGGAGATCCCACGGGAATCACTGCAGCTCATCAAGCGACTTGGGAATGGGCAGTTTGGGGAGGTCTGGATGGGTATGGATCCAGTCACCTCCAGAAGTCGAGGTCACAAGGAAAGAGCCACACTGAACCAGCAGAGACTCCAGACTGACTCAGGAACACAAGAAAAAAATCTGGCCTGGGAGGGGAAGGGTCCAAATGAGAAAACAGGACAAGAAATTTTGATAATTCTCAGTTTGGATATCTTGCCATCAAAATACTTGTGGTTTCTGACCCCTTCCTCCCAGAATCAGGTGGAAGAACATCTAGTATGTCAGGAGACTCTGCTCTCAGTCAAAATATGGCTTCCCTCCATGTCCCTCACTGCATGTTCCTCTCCCCATTAGTTAACCCTGTGTGCCTTACCTTTCCTCCCCCTATAGAGAGTGCGGATGGTTTGTGTTGTAATTTAACGGGCGTGTGTGTGAACTACATCCCTGACACTATGGGCTTGAATCATGATGCCTGGGAGATCAACAGAGACACACTTAATTTGGAAGTAAAGCTGGGGACAGGATGTTTTGCTGATGTGTTTTACGGTAAGGGAAGCCATCTATAGTGCCCTTTTTAAATTTTCACTTTGAGTCACCCTGGAAATAAACATGAAGATTTTAATTTGTCCTTTTCCCTGCATTCAAGAAACATGTTGCAATTTTGTTTACTAAATGGAAATCAGAGCAAATGCTATCTTATCCCTCTCTGGCATTCCCACAGGATTTTTGTATTTGTTCTGTAACACATAATCCATAAAGTAAGGCTGAAACTCAGCTTCTATTTATAAATACAATTTTCCATCTCACTGTTATTTCCAGTATTAAAGTGAGTATGCTTTGCAGTATGACACTCCAAAATGGTCAGTATTAAATATATGTAGCACATGGATGGATGGACATTCTGTAAAAATATAAATAGAATAAAATCTATAAACCAAAGCAGACAGTTTTTTTTCAAAGTGACATAACTGTAAATTAGCCACCAGCTAACTGGTACTGTTAACACTTACTTTACTTTGGTGTCTAGTAAAACGCCGGGGGAAACTAGTTAGCTGACTAGTATCTGTTGGCTATGACAAAAGAGGTTAGTTATTGTATCTATACACAGTTTATTTTGGTTGGTCCAGAATTATGTCACTATTGATGTTTTTGTTCTAGCTAACAGGAGCTAGTCAGCTGAACTTGTTTACATGTAGCCAGTCAAATCACACGTTTTGAGCTGTGAAGTTGCTTGTATAAAATAATAACTTCACTCTTCACCACTGCCAGACAATTCAGCCTGAGACACAACAACAAAAAGTTGTCACAGACTTTGAATCAGAGTTCAGCTAACACTGGCATTTCAAGAAGCCCAGCAATATTTGCCATGTTGGACTTCCATACTGCAGAGCATGAGGCTTCTCCCAGATTACACCCAGCCTCTGGGGTCATATTACCTCCCAACCCAGCAGGTGACCATCATATGCTTAGCCTGATTTATGAGCTTACTCTTAAATTAAACCCTTTTACCCACCAAACACATGTAGGCCAAATGTCAGGTGATAATACACTGCCCTGCCAAATTAAAAGTCATACCTGTACAATTATATGCAATTCAATGCAGCACATCCACCTTAACATATGTTTATGAAGCTCAAAATGTTTCAGTTTCTTGTGCAATCATCATAAATTTCTAAAATCACTTATATATTTATTATTGAGGTCATAGTTAAAGGTGGCACTGTACTGGACTACATTTTATTCAGAGCTGTTCTTAATATTCTGACCCTCTCATGTATGTAGATAGGGAGGACAAAGATATAGACACCTCTGTATAATGTAGTCCAGTACAGCAGCACCTTTGACCTCAATAATAAATATATACTTGATGCGGCTGTGGCTCAGTTGGTAGTGTGGGTTGTTTCCTAACCAGAAGGTTAGCGGTTCAATTCCCGGCTTGTCTAGTCAGCATGTGGAAGTGTCCTTGAGCAAGACCCTAAACCCCCAGTTCCTCCTGGTGATAATACAAGTGTGTGAATGGCCAAATAGTGTGAAAGCACTTTGAGTGTGCTAGAAAAGCATTATACAAGTATAAGACCAAACATTTTGAGCTTCGTTAAGGCAGATGTGTTGCATTGAAGTGCATACAATTGTAGAGGTGTGACTTTTAATTTGGCAGTGTATTTCTACTAATATTCCTGCATCCATTGCTGGGACAGAATGAGATCAATAGAGTACTACTTTATTTAAGTGATTACAGTGACTCATATCTCATTACATATACTCTGCCACAGTAGCTAGATGAAGTACACACTGGTGGCACAGTCCTGCTGTGTCACTGCACCAGAGAGGATCTTACAGGCTTTTGTTAATTACCCAACAAAGCATTATCTAATCCTTTGTTGGCATATTGTGGCTCTCGAAGCCCTGCTGGATCTCTCTGCTGGCTTTTTAAAGCTATTTCAAATCAAGGTCCATTCTAAATCTCATACTCGGCGCAAGCCCTGTGCATCAGATGGGCTGATTGTCACACGGTCTCCTGATCTCATTCTGTTGCATGTTTACCTCATTGTCATTTCAAAGTGAGACTTCAAAATGACAGGATTTAAATATAAATCGATAGCTCTGGTGTGCTGATGCTTGTCTGTGCATGTGCCAGGAACATGGAACGGCACCACTAAGGTGGCGGTGAAGACTCTGAAGCCTGGCACCATGTCCCCCGAGTCCTTTCTGGAGGAGGCTCAGATCATGAAGAAGCTCCGCCATGACAAGCTGGTGCAGCTTTATGCTGTGGTGTCCGAGGAGCCCATTTACATTGTCACAGAGTATATGGGCAAAGGTAGATAAACACGCAAACAAATATATGCTTATATACACACTGCTCGCTAACATGGCAGGTGTAGCTCTAGGTGGCAGGAGGCACGGCCTACATCAAAGAACTATATTCTCTGCAAAAGCATTTAGTCCCTATGAATTTTTGCACATTTTTAAATGCAATTCATTCGATTTTTTTATCTGTATTACCAAACAGAAACAGAACTGTAAAAAGTGATATTAAAATGTAAAATGAAAACAAACCTGAACTTAAAAGCCCTACCTTCAGCTCCGTGAATCTACAGTTTTTACTGAGTTGAGTTCTACAGGGGTCTAAAGCTACAACTGCTGCTGGTAAATCTGAAATCCTGAACCTGACAAGTAATATTTTTGTTGTTGTATGTCATCCATTACTGACAGGTTACTCACAGGAGAGTGCAGCACTTTGGCTACACTTGGTATCTTTGAATAGTCACCCTGGGCATTTTGTATCTACTTGCAACACATGGAAACAAACTAATGGCACAGTCAGAGAGAAAAAAAGAGGTGTTTTGTAAAAGAAAATACATTGAAATGGAATTGACTGAAAGTAACAGAACCCTGACCTGACCAGGCCTTAAGCTCTACAGCACATCATAGCTCAAAGTCATCTCCAGACTCTATATTCTCTGAACCCATTGACTTACTTGTAGGTGGCGAATCTGAGTGTAAAATATGCCGATTGCTTTGTTTCTCTGAGCCTTTGTGCAGACATTTGTGGCAGAAACACACCTTATTTAGTTTACTTAAATTTTAAAAACAGTGCAACATTTTATTTCAGGGTAGGAGCTGAAGAGAAAGGAGTTTGAGCCACAAGCAGCAAAAAGGAAACCAGGCAAAGCTGTGCATCAAGCATTGTTTCACATGGAAATGAAACTGAATTTAACTTACCATATTGTAGATACCTACAGTGCAGGTTGTTTGATGTTAGAGTTCAGCTGCTAATAGCACCACCACAGCACTAGACAACTGTGTTGTGTGTGTTCATGCTATAGCATCCCCACAGTAACTATGTTAGCAGTCTGTCTTTTGCTTTGGGATTTAGAGCTAAGCAGTACTGTATGTTATTAGTATGACTGTAGGCAACTTCTGTTTCAGAGAACTGCTGCAATCCTTGTGTTGGTGTTTCATTTCTGAGAAAGGTTTGCAGTGGAGATGACTCTGTTACATTGTGTTTCTAAAAAAGCAGCAGATGTCCAAGTTTTTTTTATTATCTTCACTATCAACAAGCTGTTTTGCCATCAGAACCTTGTAGAAGAAAACACAAGCAGCTCATGCTGAGCAGTCACAGTTCTGCAGACCTAACATGTCGTTAATAGCAACAAATGATACAGTAGCACAGTACAAGGTACAAAATGGCCAAAATGTAAACACTGTATTCTATACTGTATATGTACCAGTGTGTTAGTGTGTATTTAAGCCTAAGCATGCATGCAGGCTTTTCAAAATATATTTTTTCATTTGAGATTGTTTTTGTTCTATTCCTGTCAGAATACCAGTAGCTCTTCTGTGTGGTAAGTCCTTGTTTTCAAAGGGACTGAAGATGATTAAGGCCTTCAGAACAATCCTACAAAACACTGAAATTTAGAAGCCCCACAAGAAAGAGCTGTGGATGCACATTAAACCCCAGAGAACACATGAATGGAAACTTTGATGTGCATCACTGTGTCTGTTGCACACAGAGGGACACATAGGGACTAACATGAGATAACGGTGTATGTCCACCATAGGAAGCCTACTGGAATTCTTGAAGGATGGAGAAGGACGAGGGTTGAAGCTGCCAAACCTGGTGGACATGGCAGCACAGGTATGCCCCGATCAGAGAACTTACTGTTTCATCTGTAGACACTTTAAATACTATAAAAGAATGTAAAATAAAGAAATGTAATTTTTATTAACAAATCGTTTACTTTTTGCTTCTACTTTTCAGGTTATTGATCACTGTCAAATTACCATCACACTCAACACTTTCTGCACATAATTTGCATTAAAAGCCTTCCAGCAGCTTAGGCCTTTATTTTGAAATGCAGGCAGAGAGTGTTGTTTTATGGATGGTAGCTTAACAATGATGGCTAAAACAGAAGCAAAGAAATAATTAGTAACAGGCAGCAGTATGTCTGTTATAAAGAATCTGAATATCAGTTTAGAAGAATCTCTAACACAGCCTCTTAATGAATAGATCTCCTCTGTTCTTAATTTTTTTTTGTACAGCATAGAAAATAAAATGTTATTCTTCATAACGAATGCATTCCACCCATAGCAGTCCATCCTATTTTGACCCAGATTTTTAGCATTTAATAAATCACCTGTGTCATTTCTGTCTCACAGAAATCTGATTTTCTGCAGATTCGCTTGGCTTCAAATTCTTTTTAATAACCGAGTCGACATTGCTGTTTTCCCTGCCAGCCAAAACATATCAATATTGTTAATACAATAAAAGTTGCATACAACATAGGACTTCAGTATAATGTATGCAAAAGGCTCCCTCCATATGCATCCATCCTGAAGCATACAGTATTCACCAGAAGCAGTGCCCTGGGAATGCTGATGCAGCATGTTGACTGTGCTGTGCTCCAGGTGGCAGCAGGCATGGCCTACATCGAGAGGATGAACTACATCCACAGAGACCTGCGCTCTGCCAACATCCTGGTGGGAGACAACCTGGTGTGTAAGATCGCTGACTTCGGCCTGGCCAGGCTCATCGAAGACAATGAATACACAGCTCGGCAAGGTGGGGTGCACACACACGCTGTTAATGCTTATGTGGAACATTGTCACACACATACATTTGCATGCTGCATTAGGCCATGGAGGAAATTCTCTCAGAGGGCTGCAAAATTTGAAACGTGACTACATTAAAATGACCAGCAAATAGTGAGCAGTTGGTCTGTTCCAGATATTTGCTTGTTGTTACACTGAAGCAGACACTCCTGCTCCAGAAAGACAGCACTTATAAGGAAGTTATACTATACGTCTGCACAGAAACTGTCCAGTGTTTCTAGCCCGAGACTGTCTCTAGGGAGACTGAATTACCAGTTTTTAATCTTTGCACCCTAACCAACCAGCAGTGGCTGATGTAATTGTCCCATTAGCGCCACTTCTGTTCCACATAGAAGATGTGGTAGCTGTTGGTAGGAGCAGTTAATTTATTTCTGTCTTTTGGTTGACTGAAGAACTACAGTGAGCTATAGTTCACTGTTGACCTCCTGTTAGAGACGCCCCCCTCCCCAGGTGGGTGAGGGAGAACAAAGGTAGGACTCAAGTATGCTGACCCAGGTGCTGGGGGGGGGGGAATGACAGTTTACTGGTAAAACAACACAAAGTAACAAAAGAACCTAACAAAGGCCTAGTCCAGGTATACAGTCCGGGGTGGAGTGAAGATGGTTAAGGAGACAGAATAAACAGGAGAGTTGACGGCGGATGAGAGAGAAAACAAAGGAACAAAAGAAACAAACAACCAAAACCCAACACAGTCACTGTCAGCGTTGGGAGTAGTACGTTTGCTAAACGCATAAATGTCGTGATCAAGCCAAGCCAAAATGCACAGTTACTGTCAGCGTAGCATACTCGCACATGTGTATTTACGCGGTTAAAACAAAACAACTATCATGTACTGTGGGTACAAACTAAGTACACGTACATGTACATGTACATGTGGTATTTGTCCATTACCTGTTGCAATGATCCGCCCCACGTGGATCGTCTGCCCGAGGTATAAATAAGGAGGAAAACTAATCAGCGGGATGCACCCCAGCTGTGTGCACCGACAAACGAGTTGCCAATTACGGAGTGCCACGCAGCTGAGGTGCAGAATCCCGCAGATCAAGAAAATAGAGGAGAGAAAGGTGGAGGAGAGGCAGCAGCCGCCGAGCGGCCCTGACACCTCCAGAGCTTTTAGCCATATCTCATTTCCTTTATCGGCCGATAGAGTGGCTCAGTTGTCATGAAAATTGTTCATTTGTCATCACATAACTGTATGACTATGTGACTAAAGTTTGTATTTAACAGCTGAACCAACTCTGTAGGAGCCATGAATGAGTGAGTGTTTTATGGTAATATTGTTGAGATGTTTATTATTGTTGTCATGGTGATTGAGTCAGGTCACATAATAAGTAAGTAAGTAAAATTTTCTATAGCACCTTTGTAAACCACAGTTACAAAGTGCTTTACAAAGGAAAATACACAATAAAAGCAAAGGAACAACATGAAACACATAACAGCATTAAATAAAATCAAGCAACATCAATGAATAAAGGTAAATATCGCACACAAAACGAAACATACAGAAAACCCCTAGTCAGTACTGGAATAAAGGTATGAAACATACTTTTTATGAATGTTTTGATAGCATATCGGACAGTCAGCAAACAAGGCCCATCTACAGCCACTGAGCAACTCTAGAGTTTTTTTCCTGAAGTTGCTACAGTCTCTATGACAACTGAGCACCTTCATTTGCTAAGAAAGCCTCAGAAAATTTCTGATTGCTGAGGTAGTTCCATAAAGTCAATGGACCAACAAGAGAGACATTAAATATGAATCAAAGCAGCAGGGGCAGAGAGAGCATGATTTCCTGCTTGGTAAAAGCAGGAAAGTAGCCTGACAGACATTAACTGTGAGTAGAGGCAATTCATTGTTGGTTTTAGTCTCTGTATGGGGACAGTCAAAATACAGTAGTATTAATACAGAAAATGGCTGACCTTATACTTTAACTAGGATGTACCTGGAATAGTGTGCAACAAAAAATAAAGCAAACTTTCCACAGCAGGCAGCACCAGTGAAAACTGCACTGCCAGCTGGACCAGAAAATCCCAGCTATGTACAGCTCATAGTTTTTGTCACATGAAAGAGAAGCCTGCATGTGACACAAGGTTCACATTGCTCTCCCACAGGTGCAAAGTTCCCCATCAAGTGGACCGCTCCAGAGGCTGCGCTGTACGGGAAGTTCACCATCAAGTCAGACGTGTGGTCCTTTGGTATCTTGCTGACAGAGCTGGTCACCAAGGGTCGGGTGCCTTACCCAGGTGAGGAAGGAGGAGGGTTAAACTGGCACTAGAGGCTCAGCATGGCCACTGTGGACAAGTCGATAAAGTGGCCTGATAAGGGGAAGCCTCTCTTGTATGAAACATATGGTGGTAACAGAAGCACACACAGCTTTTCCTGTGATAGCAGGTGGCCACTCCTGCTGTTCATGGTATAAAAGGTTAATGCTTGGATAACCTTTGTCCCCTGCCAAAATCTGAGATAACACTTAATCAACTCTGCTCACCTGTGGGAAAAGTTGAGGGGGAACACGGGCCCAGATGGGGCTGGTGGCCTGGTTGTGCTTCACGGAGAAGGTGAGGAAGGTTAGCTGAGGGAGTAGCATATGCTACCACATATGTTAGATTTTTGAGGCCATCACTTGTTCTTGACAGACATGGAGGGTAGCCAAAAACTCTACTTAATTAAAACTATTATTACTTAAATAACAGAATACTCCTGTCATTTGTTGTATGTGGGCAAAATATTGGAGTCAACACGTGTATATACAGGCAGCCCGTGACATTACATCGTCAAGATCATTAGTTAAATATGTCACAAAACAGTGGTCCCAGTTTTATCCCATAAGTGTGGTGTCAAAACAATAAGGGTAATTATTATAAAATATGTCAGTCAGTGAAAAATATATAGTTACATACCACCAGTGTAATACATTAAATCATATAAATGGAAAATATGGCAATACTGTGGCTTTTTTCTTATGCAAATAAGAATATGAGCCCAACAGTAAATATTTTAAAGATGAACCAATAACAAATTGCTTATGCTGCCTAATTAGAAGATCATTTTGTGCAGTTTCTTAATTTGCTCTCATTTATTCAGTGCAGGTGTGTTTACCCTTCCACCTTTGCCAGTAGTTGAAACTGTCACTCATTTCAGCATTAACTGAAAGTAGCCTGTCTGTTTTCCATGTGCATCATTTCTTCATTATGATTTCTCCTTCTCTTCATTTGAGGCTGCTTGGAAGAAGTAGTAGTCTTGATGTCCAATACACTCCACATAGGCAGTGAAAGCAGGTAGTTCATGCTGTCAGTGTAGTGTCCTCAGCTGGCCTCAGACCAGCGTTCACATCTAGAGCTCACTGTAGTTTGAGCTGTGCTATTAGTGCTGTTAAAAAGCCGTGTGCTAATAGCAGGAAAAGTGAGACAGTCTTATGTGAATCTCCTGCTACAGCTTTTTCCTTTCCTCTCCAGTTGTGATCAGATTTATCAGAGCTTCAGCTGATCCACCAGTCTCTGAAGTCTGACAAGGAAAGAGCAGGGTGTGCAATAACACCATGGATAAAACAAACTAAATAAACCAGAGTGCTGCCAGGAGACAATGCAGATGTTGCAGAGTAAATAAATACTGTGCATTTGTCTCCCAGCGTCTACTGGAGTGAGAGTAAAAACAAGACATCTACTGGAGTAAATGTAGCTCATTAGTACCGGCCTCTGCTTCTTGACGATTTAGGGGTTTGTTTGGGACTAAAGAAGCAAAGAACTTGGTGAAACATTAGCTCCTAAACAGATTTTTCAGATTTAAGATGGTAGGAAATGATTGGTAACAGAGCGATTTGTTTGTGTTGAAGGTCACTGAGGCTAAATCAGCGTTCAGTCTCCACTGTCATGTTGATCTGTTTAACAACCCCTGGGTGTACCTCCTCACACTCTGTGTGTGTTTGTTTGTTTGTTTTAGGGATGAACAACCGTGAGGTACTGGAGCAGGTGGAGCGGGGCTACAGGATGCCATGCCCCCAGGACTGCCCCATCTCACTGCACGAGCTGATGCTGCAGTGCTGGAAGAAGGACGCCGAGGAGCGGCCCACCTTCGAGTACCTGCAGGCCTTCTTGGAGGACTACTTCACAGCCACTGAGCCTCAGTACCAGCCCGGGGACAACCTCTAAACCCCTTCCAAATCCCATCACTCTCCAGGCCGTCGGGCTCAGCTTGAGGCTGTGACCAGACTGGACGCATCAGTGCTGGAAAAAAACAAAACAAAACATAAAAATAAAAACTCTGCAGCCTTCCCAGTCAGGCCTTTATTTTAGGGATCTGTACAGCTTCCTGAGTATTTCAACACCAACAACCCTCCAGATAAACAGCCCTCAGTCTCCAACACGCCCCCCTAGTGTCTGAACTTTGCAAATGCAGTAATTAGGGATGTCGGTGGATGGAGGACGGATGGAGACAGCTGGAGTTGTAATAAAGCAATTAAATACCTGTATTGAGTGTAAATAAGAAGGTTTGTTGAGTTTGTTTGCTTCTTTTAAAGATTTTATTTTCTCTCGCACAAACTAATAATGAAAAGAATGAAAAAAGGCGAAAGAAGACAGGCACCTGAGCAGGTACAGTTAATCTGTACGTGTATTATACTGAAGCTCCTGTATTCTTTTATTTTTTTTAATTGGAAGTCACAATATTATTGTTTATTTTCCATTATGTAAAAAGAGTTCACCCCCAGATTCTTGCTTTATTCCTGACGTTTCTGTTCATAGTACTGTAGAGGCTTCCAGCATGATGCAGTTCTCCATCCTCTGTTTTCTTTCCTTGCCCCCCTCCAAAGCTTCCTCAGAGCAATAGGTGTTAGACTACTGCTGTGCGGAACAAGGTTCTTTTGCAAATGATTTATGTCCCAATTTTGTACATTGCAGCCTCGCTCAGAGAAAAGGGTGGAATTTTTTTGTTTTTGTTTAGTTGGAAGAAAGTGAGGCTGAGTTAAATAAGAAGCGCGTGTATGTCTTTATTTGAACTGTCATTTCAAGGCCTCTCATCATAAAGGTCCTTGTTTTTTGGGAACTCTGTGGACAATGGTGTTTTCTCTCCTCCACCTGAGCCTGCGGGGTGCTGACCTGATCACCTCATCAACTTATTTCTTTTTTGTGTTTTACTGACCAGGTTATATTCTATCAGTATTTGAGTCTTTGGTTTTTACAGGTTATGTATTTGTTTAACCATTTTAAGTAATCATTTAAGAGTCAGGTGTACTATATGTTCAGGGGAGCTCTGGGGCCATTACATGCTGCAGTTCAAAGTAGAAACTGCAGATTTTAAGGAATCAGCAGCATGGTGGCACAGTGGTTAGCGCTGTTGCCTCACAGCGAGAAGGTTCCGGGTTTGGGCCCCACCTGGGACCTTTCTGTGTGGAGTTTGCATGTTCTCCCCGTGCTTGCGTGGGTTCTCTCCGGGTACTCCGGCTTCCTCCCACTGACCAAAGACATGCAGCTTAGGTTGACCGGGATTGCCGCCGGCCCCACCCGTGACCCCGTTCAGGGACTAAGTGGTAGAAAATGAATGAATGAATGAGTTTATAAAGCAAACCACTGGACCCTGATTAAGTCTTAATGCAGCGGAATACAGCTGAATGGTTTTTAGGTGTCACTAACTTCCCTCCTTTATATCTTTCATTTCCATTTTTTAACATAGCTTGCTTTGTTAATTCAGTGATTTGACAGTTGAAATTCAGGAGAAAAAAAACAATAAACATTTTACATTCTTTCCAAGACACTTCTTTTCCACATGCCAGTCTATGTATGCTTCAACTATGAGTGTGTCTACATATTTGACTCTGTGGGTGGGCCAGCTATGGCTAAGGAGGCCGTTTCCCATCCTTAATTGTGACAATAATTAGCAGATTCGTTGATAATGAAAATGGCCAGCGGTGGCCCTGATAAGTAATCCATATCTTGCAAAACATGAATAAGAACACAGAAAATTTTAAAGTATAAATAAAGGTAAATAAATGTGTAATCCAAGCAAATGGTGGTGCAAGACAGTAACATTATTATTAACGATTAACACCATGAACCATTAGGACTTATTAGACTTCTCAGTTTATGTGTACGTGAGGCTACACGTGTCCCAATGAGAGCCAGGATGCAGAACACCCTGAAACTTGCAAATGCAGTTCTGATGACACCTGTGATTCCCCTCCTGAGTCATCTCACACATCCTGGGTCTTGCAAACTTGGCAGGTTATCAGTGTGTCCTGCAGTACTACAGCTAAATAGTGTGTAGGTGTGAAGTGTTTTCTTCAGGTGACTTAAAGGACCTGTAGAGAAACAGAGCAGGTGCCAAGCAGACACAGCACTGAACAGGCCTGTCATAATGAAGCCTGGAGACGAGGGCTCTCTTTTTTTTCTGTTTATGTTTGTGCACTTCCCCCAGTTTGAATGACCTTATTCCCTAATGCACTGCAGATTCCTTTCATGTCTAACATGAACCCTAACAGACTTCCCACACAGCCCTTTTTGTTAATGAAACACAACCAAACTAGAGATACTGCTACTTGGACTGGAACCTCGCAGTTGCAAAATTGCAGCCCCTTTTTTTTACATTCACTTAAACAAGGTACACATACAGTTAGCTGCTGGTCTAAACCATGGACACTAGTTCTTAAAATATTAAAATGTCTGTTATACCATTGTACTGTTTTAACTTATAAAACTATATGAGCTGAAAATAGCTGTGCTGTAAAGCTGGATTTTACAGCACACACCTAAAAAATGTTTTAGTGTTGATCAGAGTTTGCTCGGATGCACTTGGGTGTTAGACACACACATATAAAACCTGCAGCAACAGACGCAGGACTGAGTCGAGGTTACTGCCAGGTGCGTTGCTGGTTAGAGCAAACATCACAGCATACAGGAGAAGCACGTGTAAAATTTAAACATTAGTGATGGCTGGTTCTGTTTCCTTTCCCCGTGGCCTAAGCTAAGCCGACAGCCAGAGTGCAGCTCACTGGCCCACCTAAGTGCAATCTTATCATTAATGTTGTGTGTTTATCGAGTAATGCTATGAGAACCCTTGTCTTCCACTTCTGTATATTTTTACTCCAGGATCAGTACTGATTGAAGCATACAGAGCGTGCCAATAGTGCATGAAGCAAGGTTTACCCAGGTCAGTGTTTCCCCTGCCCCACTGCAGCACAACTACTGTGGTTTTTTTCTGAAAACTCATCTGTTCAAGAGACACTTCTGTGACACATTACAACCTCTTCACCTTTATCTTCAGACACACTGCTGCTGATTTTGTCCTCAGCATATGTCTTCTTTACAAGTGATCTTCTCTAAAGGTGGAATTCTGGATAGCAATATTTATCAGGGTGCTGTGTGTGTATCTTACTGTTGGGTGCTTTGTGATTTCTGAACTAATGTACTGCTGCGGTCAACAACACATGATATTCTAGAAATGTATCACAGAAGAAACAGTCACAATACTGGACCCCAGTTGTGGCTGTTGCAATTTTGGGAATATTTTTGAAAACAGAACATTTGTGGTTTAAGATCAGATTAATTCTTATTAGCCATCTAAATCCACTTGTACTACATTTTTATATTCTCTTTACGTTCTACATTTTTATACTCTTATTAACGTGAAAGCTTTCGTCAGAAATCTGACTGTAAACATTTTTATCTCAGAATTCCAATTCCAACACGCACTCAGTGTAGCAAAGGCTAAGAATGGGTTGGCGTCAGGGACAGCGTGCAAAGCTGCCATTAATGTCGATGGTGAACTCAATTATAGCACCAGACGAGTAAAAGCAGAACACATACTCTTCAATAAGAGCACTGGTAACAAACAAACACTACACAATGCAGGAGTCTGATTCAACATGTAACACTCTCAGGTCAATAATCCAGTCCAGGGTCAGAGCCAGTAAACTCACACATCCAAGGTATCCACGAGAAGAACGGTCAGTAAAGGCAATCCAAAGGTTGATGCACAGAATACAAATGGTACCAGAAGGGTTAGGCAAAAATCGGTGGTCACAAGGAAATCCGGGGTCAGAGCTGGAATCACAGGAAAGTCTGAACAGGAGTTAGAACAATCTGGCAGCTTCCTCCCACCAGGAAGCTGCCTATAAAGGGCTGAAAATAGGTGCAAACAATTGCCACTGATTAGGGTAAAGAACCCATAGCTGAGGTGAGACTGTAACAAAAAGTAGTGTCAGAATAAAAGCATGAAACCAGAAGCAGAGGGGACAGAATCATGACAGCTGGAGATGAGAATTGCTGTTTTAAGCACTCGCTGTGCCCCATACACTGCACAGCCCCAGTGAGCTGCTTTCATTAGTAAAATTGTTATATACATGAACATGCTGTGGATTCATGCATGGCACGTCACTTTGGGTGAAACTGAAATAACTAAACTGAGATGGCGACCTTGGTTAACATTATAACTGCTAAACATCAACAATCAATCGATCAACATTTATTTATATAACACTTAAGCACAACTAAAAGTCGACCAAGTGCATTTAACAAAATAACAAAAATCAAAAACATAAAATACATAATGCATTAAATTAAAAACATTTAAGCACATAAAAATATGCATAAAATCAAGTATGATGTGTCAGGGCTGTGCTGGGAACTAAAAATGTAAAATGTGAAAAGATTTGTTTTTAGCTCAGTTTTTAAAAGTGCCAGGTTTGCAACAGAGTGAATATCAGGTGGTAAACTGTTCCATAGTTTAGGAGCAGCCACAACATGTGAATGTTGCCATTGTGAGCATGTTAGCATGCTGATGTTAGCATTTAGCTCAAAGCACAGAGCTGCTAGCATGGCTGCAGTTAATTTGGCAGGCCATATGAGTACATGAAACTGATCCTTTTAGGTTTAGGTTATCCCTTTTTTTTACTATTATTTATCAATTTCTTCATCTACCAGGACACCAGTAACATCTGGATATTCTTTTACTGTCCTTACTGTAAGTTCCCTGTCTTTTCAAACTTTTCTTAAATAGAGTAGATTTTGACACAATTAGCTACATTATTAATGGACAGACAAGGCTTCTAAGCTGTCATAAAATAATTTACATTGTTTATAGGTGTCCTGTTATATCTCAATTGAAAGAGAATCTAAAAAATTACTATCACTTAATGTAGCCTTGAGGGTTTTGAGCCCCCAGTGCAGTAGCGCACTCTGCCCACTTTGTACTTCATCCTTGGCTCATGCCCTGTGCCAGAAAGCTTTAAATAAGTGAAGAGATGTTTCAGTTTTAGCCACTAGACTAAATAACTTTTATTACAAAGCTCTAAAATTTGAATAGCCTGTGTTAGATTTAGTATCATTTTTAATGTCATTGCCACCAGACACTGAGTATACTTTAGGAAAAACTGACCCTTGACACCATCTGTTTCTCAGGTGATGTGACTCCCTCCTCCTAAAGCTTTATAGGAGCAGCACTTCGAGCAGTCAACACATCGTTCCTTGTAGCCTTG